TATTCAAGTATTTTCCTCATTTCGCAGGAAAGAGTTGGACTTGAGTAAATGTTCTAAGAATGCACGACAAATAAATAATTAATATCAATACTCTAATCAAATATCGTGCTGATTTTGAAACGAAGTTTTCGACTGGTTCAAATCTTCGACATGCACAGGTTCATTGAATAGTCTAAACAACGTTACTATTTAAACATGTTGTTCTTTTCAGAGCATAGATTTGGTGGTGCTTACATGAATCACGGATACACGACGAATGAAAAATTCTTATCAGGATTCTTTTCAAATATTTTGGTTATTTTCGAGAAAAGATCTAGGGTTGATTAAATCATCCAACATAGACGAGAAATGAATAAATCATATGAAGATTCAATTGAAATATATTGCGCTTATCGGAGTCAAACTTTCCAGGTGATTACATGATCGTCGAATATACGACAAATGAATAACCCTCAATAAAGTTCGATTCAAATATTGTGCTCATTTCGGCACAAAGATTTGTAGTTGATTAGATCATCAACGAACACGTGAGAATTAAATAATTCATATAAAGCATCGGCTCAAATATGATGTCTATTTAGAAGCAAAGATTTGGAATTGACTACATGATCGACGAAGATACGACCAGTGAATAATTCTAAGTCGTATGATTCTATTCATATATTTTCCTTATTTCATAGTGAATATATGAAGTCGATAAGATGGTCCACGAGAACACGAGAAATGATTCGTTTATAGTACAGTTCTGTTCATATATGTTATTTGTTTCGTGGGAAAGATTAGAACTTGTTTATATAATCAACGAACACACAGTGAATACATAATTTATATTAAGATTCTATTCAAATATTCTGCCTAATTTGAAGAAAAAATGTCTAGTGGGATAGGTGATTAACGAACACACAAGAGACAAATAATTCCTATGACGATTCTATTCAAATATTTGGCTCATCTCTTAGGAAGGACAAAGCTGCTGTACATGATCGGCAAAGACGCAAAAAATGCATAGTTTTTACAAGGTTGCTATTCAAAGTTGTTGCTCAATTTAAGGGAAAGATTCCGAGTTGGTCCGATGATTTAGGTAGAGTCGACAAATGAGTAATTCATACCAAGATTTTGGGTAAATATTTTCTCATTTCGGAGCAAAGATTTGGATTGTGTTACATGGTCGAAGAACGCACGACAAGTGTATAATTTAGATCACGATCCTATTCATATGTTTTAGTCATTTCGGAGGAAAACTATGAAATTGATTAAAGGAGCAACTAACACACAAGATATCAATAATTCATATGACGATTTTTTTCAAATATTTTGTTCATTTTTGAGCAACTATTTAGCTTCATTACATGAATAATGAAGATACAGTGAGGGAATTGTTTAAACAATGTTGTTATTCAATTATAATACTCATTTTGGAGCAAAGATTGAGAGCTGATTACATGATCGATGAACACAGAACAAATGAATTATTGATAGCATGATGCTATTGAAATATTTTGCTTGCTTAGAAACGAAGAGTTGGAGCTGATTATATTATCGCGGAACAAACGAGAAATGAATAATTCATATAAAGATTATATTGAAATATTGTGTTCATTTTGTAGGAGAAATTTTAAGTTGATTACATGATCGACGAGTGCATGACAAATGAAAAAGTCATATCAAGATCCTATTGAAATATTTTGCCCATTTTGTTCGAAAAATTTGAAATAGTTAAATCATCGACGAAGACACAGAAAAAGATTAATTCATATGAATAAGATTGTGTTGGAATATTTTGCTCATTTTGGAGAATAGATTTTGAGATGAACACATTATTTACGAACACAGGAGAAATAAATGATTCATAGTACATTTCTATTCAAATATCTTTCTGATTTCGGACGAAAGATGCGAAGTTGATTAAATGATGAAGGAAGGCACAAGAAATAAAAGGTTATAGCACGATTTTTTTCAAATATTTTATACATTTCAGAGCGAATATTTGAAGTTTATTGCTTGATCAATGAACAGGCAACGAACGAATAATTCATAGTAAAATTCTATTCAAATATTTTCCTGACTTTCGAGGAAAAATGTGGAGTGGATTAGATAATGGCGAACGCACGAGACATAAAAGTTTATAGTACGTTTTCTTTCAAATATTTTCCTCATTTTGGAGGTAAGGTTCGAGGTTGGTTACATGATTGATGAAGGCAGGAAAAGTTAATAATTTAAACAAAGGATCTATTAAACTATTGTGTTCATTATGGAGCAAAGAGTTAGGGTTGATTAGATGATGGAGAAACATCGGAGAAATGAATAAATCTTATAAAGAGTGTATGCACATGTTATGGTCATTTTGAATGGAAGAGTTGGAGTTGATTACAGGATCGGGGGATACGCGAGAAATGAATAATTGGTAGTAAGATTGTATTCAAATATTTTGTTTAGTTTGGAGGCAATATTGCGAGTGGATTATATGATCGAGTAATGCATGAGAAATGGATAATTGAAAGTTTTATGATTCTATTCAGTTGCGCCGATGTGTTGTTATATCCGGTTTGTAGACTGCACTGACAAGTAGAAGCTCGTGGAAGATGAGGAAACGATAAGTTTGTTGATTAGCTGATCGGGTTGGTCATCGACCTTGGCTTGATTCACTACGGTCCCTGCCATGCAGGTTGTAGCCACCAACACCAAGACGATCAAACAAATTAATGGGCTAATCTTTTGCATTGTTGTTTGTTGTTCTTCGACGCTTGTGAAGAGAGTGGTAGATGAATACAATCAAGTGTGTAAATATTGCGCTCCTACAGTTGTGCTTCGACTTTATATATACGTCGGTCGCTGAAGGAGGAATCTATGAGAAAAAAAAGTACTTTTTTCATGAATTGAGATAGACAGATATCTTTTTTCTCGCAGAGTGATAGTCCGTGTAACTGTGGGTAGCACTTTATCTTTATTTTATTGAGTTAAGTAAAGCAACTCAGCTTTACTTTACTTTACCTGGTAAAGTAAAGTTGACCTACTTTACTTTCATTTTTCAAAGCAAAATAAACATAAAGTACCACCTCTAAATGTAACTTTTTTTTTGTGTACTTTGGCGAAATTACGCGTAGCAAGTAAAGAACGCGGGTCCTTAAACGATGAAATCGGCCCCCTAGAAAATATGACTTATTCATTATCTCAGCGGTGTTATCATGTGTCCAGTGATGTTTTTTATAAGAATTAGATCTTTTGGGTCCATTCTGACCATAAACGACTCTATTTAAAATCAATAGTGATGTGTTGAAATTTGACTATCAGTATCATACATGAAACATCAGCATTTTTCATTTTCTGTGCCACTGAGGTATCCCATCGTGCTACTTTTATATCAATCGATAGAATATGGGTGTGGATTAATACTGCTCATACCGACACCCAGCCACACTGAATCATATCCGTGCCCACACCACCCTTTTGAGTACAAGTTTCGAATCAATCTAATTTAAAGTTGATACTTTAATACAAAGTATCCTATGCCATCAAAATCATGCAAAAATTGTTGGTTTTATCGCGATTTTTCTTGCGATTCTTAAATGAAACAGCGATTATTCAAATTATATTTCCAACAAATCAAATCTGGTTATAGCATTTGGACCTACAGCTATGACTAGGTCTCGATCTATATACCATTGTCGCTTACATCGTACTCATACATGTTTCTCGCGGATAGGGGTGTCAACTTAGTATTATCATTAAATTAATACTAACAGTAATACGTTTGTGTTACGATCGTTTAAAAAAACTTGATGATAAAATATAATTTTTTTTCACTTTTTCTTTCAAGAATTACATCTTAATTTTGATCTAAAATAAAACATTTCGATACTTTCAGCTAAACAAAGCCATAAACAAATCTGAAACTTCGAATTTCAAAATTAGTTCATTCTAAGCAGTTAAAAAGTTTACCAAGAGGTCTTTTTAGATGCTCCTTTAGATTTTAATGATTCATTGTCTATAGACACTACATAGTGTTCTAATAAAAACTCTAAAACGATTTGTTTTTCCATTAAGTTTTGACAAAGCTTTCGAATTTTGAAGATGTCTATTTCCTAGAGCCCCTGTAGAACTTAAGATTTTCTGAAAAATTGTATTTTCAAATTTTCGCCTGAAAGTTTGCCTCTATAGGAATATCGACCAGCTGAGCTTTCATGCAAAAATTTAGACGTTTTGAATAAATTTTCATCGAGATATGAAGCTTTCAAAAACAAAAAGATGTATATTACATACATAATATATGAGCGCGGACTTTTATCCAGAATGGTTCTATATCTTGAAGAGACTTTTTTCAATTCTTCTGAATTTTTTCATGGAAGCTAGTTTAATCGATCTTCGTATAGACGCAAGGTTCCAAGTCAAAAATTCAAAAATATAGTTTTCCCATCAACCTGATGTCGTACATGGGCTGCCAGAAAATAAGCATATTAAAAGTTGAATTCCATAGTTAAATCTCAGTAGGAACGAAAATTCTTTTTGGGATTTTTATTAGAACACTATGTAGTATCTATAAGTAAGAAAATATTGAAATTAATGCATTAAAACAATTCGTTCTTCTGTTATTCAATGCATTGTGCACAATTAAAAATGTCCGAAAAATCGCGTTTTAATGAAGCCCTTTTCGTGTAGCTTAATCTTATTATAACTCGTATTTTCAGACATTTTTGACTGTTTGCAATGCGTTCTAATGTATCATACTTATGGTTAGCTTTCTGCGTTGACAGAGATAACGCATGAAAACTTGTGAAGAATACATATAATTCGCATACCGTAACATGACAAGCAATAGTAAAATATAGTATATACAAAGATTAGACAAGTAACACACAAGCGTCTTCTTTTTCAAAACGGACCAGTCATAAAAGTAATGCCTCAGTAGGCGAATGTTAAAAATTCTTCAAACTGTTCATTATTTATTTAAATATAACAACTTTCTGGATTAAATAAGAACAAATAGAAATTTTAAAAAAGTTTTAAAACATATTTGGTGTATTCTGCATATCTTCATGAACTCTCAGTATGTCTGCTCGAGTTGCATTTGGTGGCCTGAAAAGAGAAACATTCTGATCGATTGCAGCCTAAGAAGAAAGAAGTTTTCATTTCCTTACCTTGTACTACTGTTAAACAGCTGTCTTCCCTTGCTTGCTGCAGCATCTGCCAAATGTAAAACACTTGGAATTGATTCACTCAATCGACTATCAATACGTTGATCAGTATGACAAAGAGAATAAGTGAGTTCCTCCAATTCACTCAAAGAATATTCAATTTCATTGACTAGTACAACGTAATTCCCAATTTTATTTGTTCCTAAACCTGGTTCGTGGGAATTTAGGAAGAAATTGAGATAATCCGGATTTGAATTGACGATGGAACTGTCGATAACAACGCCAGATTCAACATTGGCAATATTCGTAGACGTCACCAGCCGAAAGAGGCGGGTATGGTGACGTTTTTTGACCACGATGAATGTTAGAAGAGGAGAGGATGAATTTTTTGGATAGATAGCTAGAAAGAAAGAGAACGCTTGATAAAGTACACATAAAGGTCTGAAAGTAAACTAAAAACACTACATGACAGAAACTAGATCTTGACTGTGCTATAGAATTCCGTTCTCAGTCCGAAGATCAAGTGCGAATTGGTAAAGAAGAGGGAGACGACCATTTTCCTCACCAAACTCTAATTCGCCAAACTTTAAAATGTCTTGCCATTGGATCTCGTCTATGTAACTTGAAAAAAATTGCTTCTTACCTTGAAAGGCTTCCTTCAAAGAGGCCACCTCGTCATTCTGTACCCGTTCAAACTGTCCATCATCAACTCCATCGCGATAGAAAACAACATGTTCTGGTAGTGCGCCTTCATTGCTGTCTTTAAATGCGATTAACAGTTCTTCAACCATTTCTTTCAACAACAAAATTGCCTCTTCTGATTGTTTTCCTTTACTTGGCCATTGACGAGAGACACGTTGATTTGTTAATGTACACTCCGAATTCATACTTGCAACAACAGCTGCAATTGATGGTAATTCACCAGAATAATTATTCTTTATGTGTTGAACGTCAGCCCCGATAAACATTGTTTTGATAGACGTTTGTAACTGAGCTACTTGTTTATTTTCTCCGCTTAGTTTAGCATTCACTGATTTTAACAGATTACCACAATAATTTCTTAAATTTGGCATTCGCTGAACTTTTGTAAAGTTAGCACATTGAGTAATAAGACCTGAAAAGAGAGAAAGAGAGTCTATCACAATTTCATATCTAATGATTAAAAATTAACTAACCAAATTCGATGCATGCAATTTGTTTGAAGAGTTCGTGTATTTCTAGATTTCGACAGTTTTCAAGACAGAGAATGAATTGACACTGCTTGCTTTTGAGCTCAGACAAACGATTTCGAAGTGTGTTTTCTAGATTTCTGTCAGCAAAAATTTCATATTCGTCAGGATACTTAGGCAATTTCATTTTTTGTCGATTTGCAGCCTGTTAGAAACAGCATGAGAAAAAGATCTTCGGAGGTATGATTGGGAAAATATAAGACTTACGTCGTAGAAGTTGTTTAATAATTTTTCCTGTACTTGTCTCGCATTTGGTTGCTGACGGTCCGTCAAATATATGAACCCCATGGTATCAATCGAGACTGGATTTGTAAAACCATCTTGTCGACTGAGAGTAATTTGACGCTTTCTTAGAGTTTCATAAGGTACTGCCATCATCTTCTCACAATTGACTTCTAGTTGAATTTCTTTACACAATTCATCATGGAAATTACAGTTTCGGATAGCTGCCAAGATTAAATGATATCGTTTACTAACTGGTGGTGCTGGAATCGGTTTCGTGCTTTCATCTTCCTTCACTTGTTGCCACTCTCGAAGAGAGCAAAGTTCGATCGGTAGATCAACTAAATTTTGCGAATTGCCTAATCGATAGGCTTTCAAGCAGTACAACTGTGGATAACGAAGCGCAAATCCGAGATGTTTGTAGTAATCTAGGAGGTTGCCTTGTCCTTCAATGAAAGTCTTTTCAGGAAGATGATCCGAAAAATATCCTGTAAGAACATATCGATTTTGATGATCTGACTGAGCTGTTGTAACTTCAACATCTTTCAAACCATTACCAATTTGGTTGTATTGTCGATCTGACAACAATCCAGGAAAAGAAGATTTGTTTTGCAGCAATCTTTCCCAAATAAATGTTAAAAGATCAAAGTGAGGGTAGAATCTAGTAATTGTGATATCCACATTCAAGGTTGGACCTGATTCTGTGAGACACATAGCCTGTTTGAAGCCTGTAAGGAGATCATAGGGTCCGTCTTGAGCGGGTTCTTCATCCCATGGATAAAAGACTGAACCAATTGCTTTGAATTGTTCTTTTAGCACTTGTTTGATAAGTGTTTCAATAATTCGAATCGAAGATTGATCTAAATCGCCTGTACTACTTGTGGCTGGCAAACTTTTGATTGTTAAACGACGCTGATATCCTTGTTCTTCTTTCTCATGTATAATTGGAAGTTTATCCTTGAAATTTGTTGTACTGTAGATACAACTTCCTTCATCGTACCAACAGATAGCTGTTGAATGAATTGTTTTGGCTAGGAGGAGATCACAAACGAATTGACGACGTTTTTCACGACTGGAAATATAAATGTATTTTTTTTGTTTTTCATGGTATTCTTCAACGATGACATCGTACTGATAAAAGGTAAGATCACGAGCGAATGAACATGGGAAATGATTGGTGTAGATGACGTCATCCGAGTCATCCCCAACTTGCTGTGCTGCTATTCTTGGTGGTTGAACTGACTTTGGAGCTGTACTCTGCTCCTTCCGTGTGGTCAGTACTAATGCGGCAAGATTGTTTGTTTGTTGATCCATAGGTTTCTAGTAAGAGAGAGAGTGAGTTGCAGAAAGACAATCTGAGATAGTGCTCAATCACTTACGTGTATGGCTTCGCGTTTTTTAAATTTCTCTTTAACTGTATCGTTTGTAACAGATATCTTATCTTCGAAATCTATAAAAGAAACGATATTACTCAATTCTATCCAAATTTCGTCAAACTTAAGTAAATATTACTGACTCACTTTTTTTTCTCCGTTCGTTCTGTTCTGTTTCTTCTTCTTCTTCTTTGTAAGTCGTTGTTTTGTATAAATAAATTAAATGAAGAACTCTCCTTCTGCATCTCGATTTATATTCTCAGCACGAGTGATGGATACGATTTTTTTTTCCAGTAAAAAAAATCCCGTATTGGGAGTATTTTTCTTTTTCTTTCTTCATGTATCGCAGTCCGGATTCGTAATCGTTATGCAAGATAATGAGTAATGTTTTTCTTCTAGAAAAACACATTAATATATAGATATACTTTCAGCCATATGGATCTATACTTCTCTTTATACGTGTCATGTCTTTTCATTTTTCTGCATTCTTCACATATAACTTGATACCAGGACATTTTGCGACTACTGTGATTGTAGAAGATATTAGAGAGTTTCTAGTCCGCAAACATGTATATTTTCAACTGAACATAATGATCTTGTTTTAAATGATATTCTACTCTTCAGCAATTTTGAGCTCATTCTATCAACATTATTCAATCTCATATTGTATTCGACAAGAGTAAACATAAATCCATGAATAAATCTAATCCTTCATAGTCATTAAACGTTTTTCAATGTCAAGAATGAAACGATAAACTTTTCATCTTAGTGTCTTTATCCATAAATAAAGAATAAACTATTTTCAGTGAATATTTTTTTTTTCAGGCATTAGAAGAATGTGCTTTGATGAATATAATGAGCAAGATAATAGAAGAATAACAAGTTTATCTTATTGATAAATAGTACATAATGAAAAATAAAACTTTCATGAGAATTTTGTATTTTGGTAATCATTGAAATGATATCGATTATCAATAGAATTAGAAAATAAAAAGTATCCATGTGACTAACTATTGGCGATGTGAAATGTTGAAACCAAGAATTTTGTTTAATTATTGGAGGTCGAGAAAATGGTTGATTGAACCCATCTACAACAACACCCTACATTCACCCACACGCACGCTTCATACTGTTGAATGTACAGCGCATCCAGGTGCCTCTCGCTTGGCTCACTGACATGCTGACTGACGGACATCTGTTTCTACTAGACCATTCATCGCCATCATCGCCAATCATACACTTTGGTTTACTAAGTTGAAAGGGGGTAATGAAGTCGAAATGTTGTTGCCTCAGCTGTTTCAACCGGGATCATTTCTCTTTTGGTTTGAACGTGTGGCTGCATTGGGTCATGGTGAGAATCGAAAGATGACGTCCGAACAGGCATAAGATGTTGCCAAACCTGTCGAGCCCATCTATATTAAAAGTAACGGAAACGATGAGTGGCGTGTTGGGCAACGTCTACGTGTCACACCTGATGATTATGGTCGCGTGCCGGTGAATGAAACGTTTGTGGCACCAGATGATCATGAAATCGTACTTCGACTTTCCGATGATAATGTGGGCAATATTAATGTTCACTTTCCTCAGGCTGGATTCGATGTCGTTCTAGCTTAGCGAAAACCAAGATTATTTCATTCAACCCATCTAACTATTTATTCTTTCAAATAATGTATGCAACAAATTTCGATTCATAGATACTTAAGTAGTAAAACTAAAAATTCACGAAAATAAACATTGAGTTTTTCAAACTGTGCAGACAAACATTAGGATGTGTGTGGGTGGGTGTAACTGCCTACTCTTTGCAGCAAAACATCTCCACACCCACACTCCTATTTAGTATATGTTTGATAATATCATCGAGTTTTGTGTTCAACTTAAGATAAGACAGATTTCGATCGTATCCAAAGAACTCTCATCAAAGAATTTTTCGCTGACGAATTATAAAGTTCGGTGTGTAATTTGAAACGAGGAAAAAAATAGCTTTGTCTAATAATAGCTAATTCTGTCTGTTCGTTGTTAATCCTTTGTTTTTTTTTCATAATGTATGTAAAAGAATATTGGTATTATTTATATAGAAAGTTTATCCATTAAAGCTCAATGAAAAATATCATCATCTATTTGTTTATTTAAAATACAATATTATTTAAAAAGAATTTATTTTTGGTTTTTTTCGAAGAATATCGATGAATTGCAGAAGTGAAAAAATACAACGATCATATTTTCTCTGTATAATAATTTCCTGGAGATTTACATTATCATTCAATAAATATTAACTTTTAGTTATAAGAAACTCAATATATTCAGTAATAAACATGAATATTTATATTTAACAATAAAATAAAATATTTGCACAAAATTTTCATGAAGATAATCATAGAAAAAATGATAAGTCTCACTCGACACAATAAATATGAAATAAAAAATAAAACACTGCGATAGTATTGATTGAAACTCAGATAATAGAACGTATAGCGATTTGTTTGTTAATGAGTCAAATTCTATGCTATCAAACATGCTCAAATGGAAACTAGTCGGATAGCTGCTAATCAGACTTCTCACAATCCTCAATCAATCGGAGAATAGGCACAAAATATCTTCATCCAATCCACTGAATACAAGTCTGTTTTGCCTAACAACCACAAATGAACGACCCCTACAGCAAAAATGCATGAACACATCCATGAACTTCTATAAAAAAGAAAAGCACTAATTTCGTTCAAGAACAATATGTATACAATTACCAAAAACTAACATCACTATCGCTACAAAAATCTGTGCTAAGTTGTGAGGGGTACCAATCGATGCAGTTCATTGAGATGTTAAAGGAAATGATACTCGCACCGATGAAAGACCCATATGAGACTTGCACAAATTCATGGAAACTCTAATATTACTAGTATAAACATCACCATAGAGAAAATTTGTCGTCACGGATAAATGGCATCAATCGATACAAATGGTTTATGTGCTCAAGGAAATGATGTTTTGATTTTTAGAGATAATGATACATGCTGAAAAGGTTTTCTGAATTCTATACAGTTCGAGGCGTCAGTTAAATTGAATTAAGTAGCCAGAACTGTTTGTAACAGAACTAATGTAACCAACTAAGTTTTTCTGTTGCAAATATTAATATTTATTTTTGTCTCGTCTGAACTGTGTTCTTGATAAAAAAAAAGAATATTAACAAGCAAGAATATTGTTCATGAATTATTAGAAAAATAACTTCAACGTATAATATATTCTTTTTATATTATTGTTACTAAGAGAACCATTTCCAAAATGTATTTGTTGTTATTCCTCTTTTCTGATGATTTACAAATTCCACGATAGCTACTGGTGGACTCGTTGTCTAATAGAATCGATACTTTCTTCCATCTATATCGTCTGGCTCGGGTAGCTTCACAGTAATATGAAATACGACTGATTTTCATCATTTTATGGTTCATTATTTGGTTGTTGAATAAAAAGAAATGCAATCATCACTTCGATTTCTTGCATTAGGCGATTCTTTAACAGCCGGATTTTATAATTATGGTTTATCGTATCATCCTTATGCAATTGAATTATTAAATTTATTTTCATCAGTAAATATGCCAATAATTGTTGATCAAAAAGGAATACCTGGTGAATGTGTTGTTCCATCAATGATTAATAGAATTGAAAATCTTTTTCGTGAAAATTCTCCTCATTATGATTGGATTATTGTTTTAGGTGGAACAAATGATTTAGCTTATAAACAATCAGCTGAAAATATATTTAATCAAGGTTTAAAACTAATCTATGATATGATTCTTCAAAGAAAAACTTTAAATACAAAATTATCAGTTATGACTATTATGGAAAATGGTTTTTATACACCAGAGAGTATTTATGATAAACAAAGACAAATTTTGAATGATATGATTAGAAATTATGTTAAAAATTATCATGATCAAAGTCGAATATGTCTTATTGATATTGATAAATATATTAATTATCATTCTATTAAAGATATTAAACAAAGAGATATTATTTGGGATGATTTTGTTCATTTAACACCAGATGGATACGATCTTATGGCTAAAATTATTTTTCAAGAAATTTTTAATAAAATAAATCAACAATCATGAAAGTTTTATTGTCTATAGTTCAGATTAAATCAGGATTTGTCAGAATTCAAGCTTAACCTTCGACAATGATTTCTTATTTTACTAAATAACTGTATCAAAAATAAAAATAGATAAATATACATTTAAAAAATATTGTTAGCACAATTTCTACAGAATTAAAATTTAAAACACGACCTAGTAATTGTTTCTAATACCCTCAAAAATTATTTTTTTTTTATGTATGTTGGGGCATATTTTTTTTATCATTGTTTACTTTACAGTATAGAATTGCAACAAGAAAATATTGCATCGATATTAATTGAATTCGATAACTCCTGGGACCTATTTGTCACGATCTACGGAGAGAGGAGCCCAAATTTCTACTCTGTACAGTTCAATACTCCTGTTCGTTGTATGTCATTCAATCTAATCTGTTGAATAATTTTAAGTATTTAAATACATTTAATTTTTATGAACAGATAATAGTAAAACTACATCGACTCTTGAATACCAAACTTTTCTGACGAGTTTTCTCAGGACCATTCGCCAAGGTTTATACAAAATCGAGACTCGTTTAATAGATTTCGAAGGCGAATTTTTCATCGAAACATCAGAAAAAAGTCAATTTTTTGTGAAAAATCTACTGAAAACGCTTATTNTGATTGGTAGTCTGGCGAACCCTCTTTTGGATATTGTATGTTATGCCTTATAGGAGCAAAATAAGAATATGCATAACTTTTGAAGAAAGCCTTAGGAACTCAAATCATTTCATAGGTTTTACTAGGGCACTATGTAGTATCTATAGACAAAAATTCATTGAAATCGGAGGGTAACATTTGGGAAAGTTCTCTCGTTAGTCGGAATATTACATTTGTTCTTTTAGGTTGGATGATGGACGAGTCAACATCAAGATCAACACAAAAAATGTGTATCGTGTACGTTCGATATGTTATAAATAATGAAACAAGAACAGATTATTATGGCTTATTAGATTTAGAAGGTGATGGAACATCAAAAAATATTGTTAAAAATCTAATAAGTTTATGGAAGAAAGATGATTTAAGACCACGTCACTCGTGCTGGTTATCAACTGATAATGCATTCACGTTTACTGGTAAGTTGCGTATTAGTCTATTGTACAATCTTTCTAGAAACTATTTTAGGTGCACATGGAGGTGTAATTGCTCGACTACGTGATTATTTAGCAACTGATTGTTTGGAAATGAACGCCTGTGTTGCTCATTCGTTTTCACTTGTAGGTTCTCAATCATGTTATGTTCTTAAAACACAAAGTATCTATAGGTTTTTGTATAAAATGTTGTATTCTTGAATTTATTAATTGTTATAGATAATGAATCTCATGTTCTGTCAAATTCAATTGTGAAACTCGAATCTACAATCAGCAAAATATATAATTATTTTCACAACAGCTGCAAGAGACAATTCAAATTAAAATGCTGGCAAAACTTCCTGGAATGTCCTGAACTCATATTCAAAAAAATTTTTGATATTAGATGGTCTACAATTCGTGATTGTATAAAACCTATAATCGTCAATATTCAACCAGGTTACGATATGTCGATTATTTGTGAAACAATATTTTACAAAATTAATTTCATTTAGGATCTCAATCTTTATTAGGTTGTTTACAAGAAACAATGTTTGATTGTAATGTATCAAATCTTGATCGTGAAAATGCAAAAGATTTATTTAATACAATATTAGATGATGAACTTCTATTTCTAATCCACATGCATCATGATCTTCATGAATCTATTCTCAGTAAGTCAAGTTATATTTTATGTGTTACATTTATAGTACGTTTTTCTCAAGTTTACTTAGTGTGATATTTGTTTTAAATTTAGGTCCGATCACAAAAGCAATGCAAAATGATCAACTTACGTATTTCAATATGATGGAAATGATAAAAGAAAAAATGAATATTTTAAAAAGTTGGACATTTCAATCATCATCTGCTAATGGTGCTTCATTATTCGATTATATTGAATCAACAAAAAATGGTACATTTGGTGCATTTAAAATCAAATTAGGTGATCGTCAAAAATTTTCAAATGATTGTCGAGAACATATTTCTCGATTACTTGAAGAATTAACTAAACGATTCGCTCCATCAGTTGTTCAAGAAAATTTATCTATTTTGTTTGATCCTCAATATTTAATTCAACACAAGAATGATATCAGTTCAACTGAATATGGACGAGGTGCAATTGATTTTTTACGTAAGAAATATAAAAATTTCGTTGGTTTTGATTCTACTTCTGTTCGTAATGAATGGGATTCTCTTAAACCTGCATTAAGTAATTATATAAATAGTCTTCCAAGTGATTATGCAGTTAAAGAATTTTGGAAAAGCTTTATTTTATTAAAACAAACAACAAATAGTCTTTTTAATGATCAATACAAGAATATTTTTCTTTTACTCAACATATATTTAATTTCACCAACAAATTCTGTTGAATGCGAAAGAGGTGTATGTTGAGTATTTTATGGTAAATTATTATTTCATATTATCTTGATTTATAATTTTTAGTTTTCTGCTATAAATCGTGTACAAACAATTGGAAGATCTCGTTTAATGGTATCAACATTAGATGCTTTGATGACTATAAGGATGTTGCTGAAAGATGATTTACGAAGGTAAGGTAGAGACATTTGTTGATTTGTTATTTATATGACATTTAAATGTTTTTTTTTAGTTCTAGATGTGAACAAGTTGTTAGTAAAGCATTTGAATCATGGAACGATCTAGATTATAATCGTCGTTTCCATCAAATACAACTTTTAATTGATGCACCTGATGATTATGAACCAGTAAAACAAATCAGATCAACTGTCAAAAGAAATATTTCATCAATTCATCCAGAAATTATGTACAAAAAACCAAAAAAACCAAAAGCTAAAGCAATAAAATGTAAGTCATGATTCTGCATGCTTTTAGACATTATTGAACTTCTTTTGTAGGTGCTAATGGATGTAAGACGGAAGTATCAGATGATGATCCATGTCAAAATGAAGCTATTCAATGTTGTCATCAAAGCGAACAATTTGAATGGATTGATTATGATGAAAATTGTTCTCGTTGGCTCTGCAACAAATGCAGAATTAAATTTGGTATTAGCATCAATTCTTTATGGTTTTGTTGTGATCATGAAGATATGCACGAAAATGAAGATGAAAATCAAGAAAATTGACTGGCTTGATAATATTATTGTTAAAAAATAGTATATATTAATTTCTATGTTTGTTATATGAAATCGTGTTCGTTTTGTTCTTTCATTTTTTTGTAAATGTGTCAGATTATGAAATTGTACGTGTTTTTACTAGTCACTTGTTATTTAAATATTGAAGTATATTTTATTTTACTTTAAAGAAAAAAGTGCGAACATCTTTTCTATTTTTTAGATTGTGAAAAGTTTGTTCTACATACATCTTGGTACACCTTGCCGACGAATACAAAGTGCACATATACACTTTGCTCGCGTTAGTAAAGTGTAAAAAAACATTTTATTTTAGATTTCCATTGCAAACACTGACCTGATTCCAATGATGAATAATGTGTAGCTAATACTTTTAAAAATTGACGTTCAGTTGTTCTTGATTCCTGCAATATTACATTTGCTATTAGATAAATCTGTACGATCTCTATTACATTTCATGTAGCTTTTTCTTCATCCTATAATTAATTATTAATTACTAAAAAATTCCATCGATATGTAAACAATGATATTTATATTAAGACTGGGACTAAACCCGAGTCTTGATCGTTGATTGAAATCGGACCATGAGTACAAATTCATCTTGGCAACATCATGAGAAACGACTGTTCACGCTCATGTGTGAAAGGGGTATTTGAGGTTTGGTTTTACTAGAATCATGGTATTGAACGATAAATCATCGCCAATAGAACATTATTATTTCATCGTTGCTGTGTAATTACTTAAAAAAATTAAATGAATACGTAGTATAATGCACATGTTTATCATCATTCTATTCACTCTCAATCGTCATGGATTAAACTGCTTGTTTGACTCATAATAGAACAGGCAAAACAAAGAGAATATTCCTATGAAAAAAAAAATCTCCTTTGAAATATCATGCGCAGGTAATGGCGCGTGGAGATAAATGCATAATAGACAAACGTATTCTTTCCAAGTATATATATATGAATCATAATGATTCGCTCTTACTCATAAAATAACTTTGATACAGTACACTCTTAATCTGATCATGGACAAACAAGATTTCAAACGAATATAACGAGTAAATTTATGTGTTTCGAAATTATAGTCTTTTCGCCAAACTGTTGTGGCTATCAATGTCAACCGGATTCTTCTATCCTTGAATAGAATCAATAATCTTGTAACCGTTCAGTATTGTATTGTATTGCCCTTCGTAAAGATTTGGTCCTGATTAAAATGAAATAAATTGATATGTAATATACCAATAGTAATGAGACTTTTGAAGAAGGGATGCTTTTAAGTGGGTAATTGGAGAAGAATGCGCTTAAGATAATACCTTGACAGTGAATTGCTTTAAAAGCGCTAAATACAACTTTCGCAACTATTTTGCACTGCGATCATGCTTCAAAATTATTTGAGAGCATAAGTTCAAATTATAGATATAGCAAGTTTTCTGAATAGCAAATATTTCATACAAAGGTTTATTTGATTTCCATCTCAAATTAGAGGAAATATATAACCTCCTCTTTTTGAATAAGGAAACTACGGTATTAACCTTTCAGTCTTAAGTTCTTTCTTTTGTCATAATTTTTACTTTTCAGCCATTTATAAATCTCCAACGTATACAAGAGAAATAGAGAAAAAAAACAAAAGAACGAGGGACAGGAACACAAAAGCAGGAGATAAAGAGAAGGGTAATGGGATAGTAAATATTATTGTCTTGGTGGGACTGAGCTATATAATAAAGAAGATGACGTCAAGCATCTTCTTTCCAAATGCAGTTAAATTTAGGAAAGGAGAAAAGGTTTAGATTTTATTGAGATTCTCAAGGACGAAAGGAAAGAAAAACAGAGGAGAAAAAAAGAACGAAAAAAGATTGACTTATATACAAAGTGAATAATACATACTAGAGAATGAAGACACATATACGTATGCGCACAACAAAGATAAAAAAGAAAATACGAAATAATGTTGAATATTGCTCGCGTGTTTCCTACCATACGAGAGATAGTGGATCTTTAGCAATAGCCCTGCATGTAAGTATCTATATACTCCTTTTGTGAATACGGGACTAGGGGCATACATGCTCTTGAGAATTTCTCATTCATATATATATATATATATAATTCTAAGAGTAGTTGCGTGATTCGACTTCGAATATATTTGAAAATTTAAAAAAAACATCGGAAGCCTTATTGACAGAAAAGAATGATTTCAATATTATAAATGACGGACGGCTCTCTTTTCAATACAGCAGAAAAGCGAAAAAACAAATTACTCAAATTACAATTTGAATCATAATAGAGATAAGACTGTCAATAACTATAGTGGAAAGCCAGGAAAAATATTTCAGTTGAATTATAAATTATCACTGGGATAGGGTTCCCCTATGACTAGAATAAAAAGATAGAAAACAACTTCAATCAAAGTATAACTCGACCACCTGTTAACCGGAACTAATTGACATGAATATATTTGCCCACGGTAGCTCAGTCTTCGAAAGAGCTTCGCTGGAAAATGGTTCAATGGTGAAAAAATCGTAACTTCATTGCTGTGTACGCTAATATTTTCAAATATCAAAACTCAAATTTTTTTCTAGCTCATTCAACATTTATTTTGTGCTGTAAATCATCTCTTTTAGATATCGAGCTTACAACTTTGATTGCAAAGCTTCTAACGATAAAGAATCGTTCATCGCACAAGAAATGTTAACAAAAGTATTATATGAAAAAAATATGGGCATTATAGGGAAGCCGTAAGTTTGTCAAAGCTTTTTTCACCAACATTACCACTAACATGCTAATATTCTTCTGGTCAAAACGAAACATTTCCAAATGTAAACTCTCTTTTCGATTGACACCCATTTTTAAATGGGTCATTGCCAGTTGTGTAATGCTGTAGCTTTGATTGAGTATAACGGTCTTTGAAATTGAGTTATGAACTTTATTTCGATCACATCTCGACCTGTTCTAGAGCTTTTTCGAATAAAATTAGGTTTTATATTTTCGGCCTGAATATTCGCACATGTGCAGTTCTCATTGTTACTGCCTCTTACTTAAAGTTTCAGTTTGACTGAATGCTTCTGCGAAATATTAGTTTTTCACGTAGATCAAATGTTTCGATTTTCTTCCATAAAATATGTAGTCCTAAAGAATTCAACATCTGAAAATGAAAAGATCGATTTAGACGGTCACATTTGGAACATTTTGGTAACCATGAAACTGATCTCAATGCCAATTTTCAAATAAAGGACAATCAAGATCCAATTCAAATTAAGCAATTAGAAAACTTTCTATGAGCAATAAAATGACCTATAGTTGGCGTCGAAAAACTATTTTGTACTTGAAAATCTTACCGTCTCAGCTGAATATTAACATAGCTTTGACTTTCTGTCATCCAGAAATGAATGATGCACCTTCTCTGCGCTTTTGTTTCAGAAAAATATATACTAAACAGATCGGCTTTAGCATTGAAAGACTCTTTAGTGTAATTTTACTTGGATTTCTCGTCACGATCATATTTTTATTAATATGCATATTTCTTACAAAATGTAATACCAACGTCGCGTCGGACTACAACACAGGTATGTCAACTCTCTCTTTCAGCGAAACAGTAAATCATGTTGTTTATTGAGGTATTATTGTGAAATGTTCAGAAATAGTATGATAGGACAGAAAGGATGAAAAATCCAGTTTTTCCACTAATGAAAACCTATGATAAAGAAAATCTGATTAGAGCAACACACGATGAGTCTTTTTAAAAAAGATTGTATTCAAGATGGCTGAAAGACTTGAGCTTGTTTAAAAGGAGTTTTGCTTGTTTCACACCCACTTTTTCATCATGTTGTTCAACAGTAGTCAGTTGTTAAGAAAAAGGCTATCTGTCATGTAATGCATAATAATCATCATCTCTTAATGATGCTTTGCACAAAGCAATTTTTTCTATTTTCGAATTTGAACAGTATTCATTATTCAATTTTTTCTGTTATTTATAAAGATTTGAAAACGGTTCAGTCGAAATTTACTTTTATCACCAGTATATTCTTCGTTTTCTTTAACAGAGAAGTGATTCTCGCAATCAGACAGCTCTTCTGTCTAGCGACGGCTGTTTGAAGCAGTCTTATGATAAAGCCATGCATTATAAGACCTTCAAGTCAGTAATACCTCTTTATATTATATATCTTTTTCATCCATAATCAGATGAATAAGAACTTAGTTGACAAGCGTATTATACTTCTCAACGATTATAATGATCTTTCACCTAACTTAGAATTGTAATTGTCCATGCATGAATCTTACTGTTCAATATATTCAACATTATTTTGTATAAATTATTTCAATGGGAAATATATGACGATATACATGGGTTCATTTGAGTCATTTGAAATTTATGGAATTCTCAGAAATCGAAGCGCTAATTATTTCCAGACTAAATATCATTGGCATGAACATAAATCAGAAAATAGCAAGACATTTTTGGAGTTTTTTTTTAATGAAAACATTGAGAAAATGAACTAATCGTTAGTAGTACCATAAGAAACTCAACAAGAAAACTGCAGCATAATCCACTTCACATGTAAGTATAGCTGATGACTACAGGCGGATAGAGTAAGAACCACAGCGCATACTATCTAGAATGACAACAATAGAGAAAGGATTAAGAGTAGTTTTTATCTATTGAGTATTATTCGACGTTCGTAAATCAAGTTTTTTGTATATTGATTATCTTAGAACAAATTTTTCAGCAAATGATTCATATTATTGAAAAAGATCCTCTTAGAAACGACTGTCGATTTTGATTATTCATTTCATATTGTAGAATCTGGCGAAATCACGCAACATTTTTTCTCAAACTGGATGCCAAACAAAAATCATAGTACGAAAATCATCAATACGCATGAGATTGTTCGAAAAGTAATCGTATTTCAATTAGTTATCACATATCTTTAAACTAATTAAATTGAACGAAATTCTAGTTAGAAACTCTCTATGGTATCGAATCAGGTTCGATCC